GCATTCTGAAATTGACCAAACATGAAATCAAGATGTATTGATTATTACTGGTGATAGGAATTCAAATCCTACTTCCGTAGTGATAACTGCCTCGGAAACCCAAGGAGGGGTCGCTATGAGTCGGGGCCGACTCGACGGCACATAACAACAACAACAACAGGAATTCAAAAGTTATAAACAAAGAAATATCACCAGTACTTGGAAAATATGGTCTTGGTAACAGAAATGATGCCAGAGATGGCATGATAGAATTTTGCAAGACCATTCAAAGTATTTATTACAAATACTTTTTTTCAACAATATAAATCATGGCTATACACATGGACTTCACCAGATGGAATACACGGGAATCAGATTGACTACACTTGTGCAAAGTGGCAATGAAGAAGCTCAAAATGTTCAGACAAAACAAGGCCAGGAGCTGACTGTGGAACAGACCATCAACTGCTCATATGCAAGTTCAAGTTGAAGCTGAAGGCAATCAAAACAAGTCCATGAAAGCCAAGATATGATCTTGATTATCTTCCTCCTGAATTTAGAGATGATTTAAAGAATAGATTTGATGCACTGAACACCAACGACTGAAAAGCAGAGAACATCATACATGAAGAAAGTAAGAAGTCATTAAAAAGTCCAGAAATGGATGTCAGAAGAGACTGTGGAACTTGCTCTTGAATGGAGAGCAGCTAAAGCAAATGGCAAAAATGAAAAAATAAAAGAGCTGAACAAAAGACTTCAAAGAACAGTTGGAGAAGACAAAGTCAATTATTACAATGAAATGTGCAAAGACTTCCAGTTAGAAAACCAAAGGGAAGAACACACTCAACATTTATCAAGCTAAAAGAACTGAAGAAAAAATTCAGCCTCAAGTTGAAATACTGAAAGATTCTATGGGCAAAATAATGAATGATGCAGGAAACATCAAGAGAACCTGGGAGGAACAATACAGAGTCACTGTATCAAAAAGAATTGGTCACTGTGCACCTATTTCAGGAGGTGGCATATGATCAAGAACCAATGGTATTTAAGGAAGAAGTTGAAGCTGCACTGAAGGAACTAGCAAAAAAAACAAGGCTCCAGGTATTGACAGAATACTCATTGAGATGTTTCAACAAACAGATGCCATGCTAGAGGCCCTCACTTGGCTATGCCAAGAAAATTTGAAGATGGCTACTTGGCCAACTGACTGGAAGAGATCCATATTTGTACCCATTCCAAAGAAAGGCGATCCCACAGAATATGGAAATTATAGAACAATATCATTGATATCACATGTAAGTAAAATCTTGCTGAAGATAATTAAAAAATGATTACAGCAGTATATTAACAGGGAACTTCCAGAAATGCAAGCTGGATTCAGAAGAGGACTTGGAACGAGGGATATCATTGCTGATGTCAGATGGATCATCAGCCGTCAGAGAGATGCAAATCAAAACAGTGAGATACCATCTCACCCCAGCACTAATGGCAAAGTTTAAACCAAAGCCAAACTCACTGCTGTCAAGTTGGATCTGACTCATAGCGACCCCTCCTTGAGTTTCTGAGGCAGTATCTATGGAAGTGGATTGCCAATCTTCCTTCTAAGGAGTGGCTGGTGGATTTGAACCACCAGCCTTCTGGTTACCAGTCAAATGCCTTAGGCATTTGACCACTAGAACCCCCAGCAATCCCATTACTAGGTATATATCCTAAGGAAGTGAGATCCAGGGCAAGAACACATATATGCATACCCATGTTTATCGCAGAACTATTTACAATAGCAAAAAGATGGAAAAAACCTAGGTGCCCATCAACTAAAGAATGGATAACCAAACTATGGCACATACACACAATGGAATACTATGCAATCCTAAATAATAATGTAGAATCTGCAAAACACCACATAACGTGGATGAACTCGGAGGACCATTATGCTGAGTGAAATAAGTTAATCACAGAAGGACAAATATAGTATTAGTTCATTGTAAAAAGTCAAGGAAAGGTTTATATATGGAAGGAAACTTTCTTTGTTGGTTACCAGACGTGGAAGGGGAGGGGAGGGAACACTGAAAAAAAAAATGCAGTGACCCGTGTCACTTTAGTTTTATGTATTTCACTGCACATAAATTATATTTCAATAAAATGTATTATTTTTTTTTAAAAAAGCAGCAGATCCCTTTGGAGAAGACTGAGAGAAAGATTAATGGTATAAATTTTGGCAGTGCAGTGAGATCTTTCTTTAAAGAGACTCAACCTCCCCTTCATTCAAGGGGTTGTGGGTCTTTAAACTGGCTCAATTCTGGGAATTGACTGAGGAGCTGCGGTTCTTTATTCCAGTGATTCGAGTTAGACTGCCTTTCACTCGATCTAAAATTCTACTACTTGTCCCAAACCAAACCAAACCAAACCCACTGCCATAGAGTGGATCTTGACTCATAGTGACCCTTTAGATAGGGTCGACTGTCCTATGGGTTTCCAAGGTTATAAATCTTTACAGAAGCAGACTGCCTCATCTTTCTCCAATAGAGCAACTGGTGGGTTCAAACCACTGAAGTACTGGTTGGCAGTCTAACATCTTAACCACTGTGCTATCAAAGCTCCTTTTCCACATGTATAGATCAAGTAAATACTTACTGGGTTTCTCATCTATTTTACTCCTATGGACCATGACTAAGTAGTCAATGCCATAAACTCATACCAGTCAGATTATTCTGATTATTGCTTTGATTGTGCTTTCCATTATAGTAACCAGGCCTACCCTGTCTCTGGTAATGAAGTGTCACCATTTGGCCCCTACCATCACAGGGTCCAATCAGCCTCATTGTACTTAGAAGTCTTAATTCAGTTAAGGCAATTCTCATTGTCAAATCTCACTTACATAAAATAGCAATCACAGCAATGCTCAAGGATGCTGGGGCTCCCTTCACAAATTTTTTCCTCATAGTTGTGGTGAAAGGTGTATCCAGTGCACATTCCATGGATGGGTCTCTGAGATTTAACCTGATAAATCCACTCTAAAATGCCAATTTCCCTAAGGCTTTGGATATCTTCTTCTATAGTGAACCAAGGTAGGGCTGGCATTTAGTTTGGTGTAGGCCACTGCTTAATCCATGCTTCAGCAAACCAACCAAATAAACTATTAGATCCTTTTCTAATTTCTCAAGGTAAAATACTGAAGAAAGCATCTATGTTAGTGGGTCTATACCATTAATATAGATTGAGCCAACTGTATGTTCCTTATAACATTATCCCACACCCTTAATAGTCATTCCACACATGTCCAATTCCCAGGTTGCTTTCTGTACATATTATACTTTTGGAGTATAGTGTACTTCCCTCCTGGGTCACACTTTGTATTTTACCTCTTGGGGTGAAATATAAGTCTAGGTATAGGTCTAGAAGTCAAAATGGGTGATGGGGTGGGTCCTGGGGACATTCAGCAATGCCTTGTAAGGCATCTGTCTCAGACAATGCCCTGCCAGTGTCCCAGGTGGTATCTCAGACAAAGACTCTTTGGGCACAGCAGGGTTAACCTCATCAGATGGGAATGGAAGGGATAACGGTTCTACTGGTGAGGGTGGTTTAGAAGACAAAGATGGAGTAATTTTTTCAGAAGGAAGTTAGAGGGCTGGTTTACTTGGCAGGAGTGATTCAATAGAATTTAGGGGCTAAACGTCCTCAGCTTCTTGATTATGTGCCCATGTAGTGCCATCCCAAGTTTCAGGATCCCATTTCTTCCCAATCAGTGCCCTCACTATAATTTCAGATACCATTCAAGATTGAGAATTCAACTGGCATTGCAATTCAGCCACTCTTATGAAAAGACTGTGGGTTTGGTATTCAGCAATATCAGCTCTGTTACTGCAAGACATGAGGCTTTCTTTCAGGGCACAAATGGGAACCTCAGGTCTTGTATGCAGTGCTTGAGCTGTGACTCTGAAGCTTTGAACTCATCCTTTTCTTTCACCACTTTGTCTAGTGAAAGTAAGCCCAAACAACCAGCTTCCTTATACGTCGCATTCTGACAATACTGTAGAAAAGTATTAAACATGGAATCACCCAGAGCATATCTCACAAATATCTAATCCAAAGGTGATGATATTTTCAGTATTTCTATTGTCACCTCACAGCAATGATTACCAGTCCTATTTTCACTACTCGAGGCAGAGTCATCAGTGCAGACTTGAGAACCAATTTAGAAAACTTATCCTTAATTATGCTCTTTTAGAACCATTCTCATATCAAATGTCTTAGGCTGGGTGCTCTTGAGGATCAAAAGCATTGAAGCATATAAATAAATATTTATTTCAGGGGAATGGCTCATATAGTTGTAGAGGGTAACAAGTCCAAAATTCATTAGTCACCACTGAACTGGCGGTTTCTCCTGATTCGCATGGTTTCAGGGCTGATGAACCCAAAAATGGCATGTCAGGCAGCAGGCTGTTGGCTCACAGGGTTGCGGGAGATGGCAAATCCCAGAATCTGCAGATTAGGCACCAGGCTGCAGGCTAACATCCCAAGAGCCAGAGGTAAGAGGAAACAAGTTGGATGTAATATTGAGAGAGAATAAGCTTTTCTAGAGCATCTCTATATATTGGATGCAGGCCACACTCCCATGAAAACACCATTTCCAATTACTTGGCTCATATCAGATCACAAAACAGAGGGTGATTACATAATATCTGTCCAATCACCCAAAATCATGGCCTAGACAACTTGACATTTAACCTTAAACATCACATTCTCCCTTCATAATACTTTACCTTTCTACAAATTATACCAGCAAAGATATTAAAAAGATTGTGACATGTTGTTGTTGTTGTTGTTATGTGCCGTGGAGTCAAACCCGACTCATAGCGACCCCTCCTTGGGTTTCCAAGGCAGTATCACTACAGAAGTAGGATTGCCCAACCTTCCTTCCGAGGAGTGGCTGGTGGGTTTGAACCGCCAGCCGTCTGGTTAGCAGGCAAGTGTCTTAGCCACTATGCTACCAGAGCTCCATAGAATGGTAAATATTTTACCTTCCTTTATGTCAGCATTTCTTGTAACTTCTGAAAGATAGCAGTTTGGCAAAGGATATGATGAAAACATTGACCAAGGATATGGATCATTACCCTAAACATAAAACAAGACAGATGACTTTAGGGAGCAGTTTAAAATATCACTAAGTTTTAAAAATTTATGAAATACTGTTAATTTAGTTTTTCTCTCATAATTTCTAGAGCAGTTTCCCACATAATCAAAAGCTATATGATATTACAATTGAATAGTCTAATGGATAATAATTAAATGAAGTGTAACAGAAATAACACTGAAGATAGACATTTGGTAACTTGTCCTAGCAACTATAACTGACAATGATGGTTTTACAATTTTTTTTCAAGAAAGGAAAATTACAGCCTTCAAAATAAGCCCTGCATTTCTGATTTTGTTCACCAAACTGTGACTCTTTTGCTGTCAATCATTTCTATCTCATCCTTCCCAGAGTGACAAGCAAAGCAAGAATGTGCTCAATAACAACAAAACACCTTCTTGAGAAAACCAAGCTCTATGAATATTGATGGAAGGAGAGGTACTCCATATTGTCAAAGAAATCCAAAAAGAATACAGTCATCTAATGGAAGTTATGTATTATAAAAGAGAAAGACATTGCAAGTAAAAAACCCAAAGACACACTGGAAGAATGACAACATTAAAATAAAATATTAAAAATACCCTATCCTAGTCTACTACACAAAGTAGTACTCATGACTCCTTGAAATCAAGAATACTATTTTAGTTTATTTGCATCCTAAGGTTTTTTCAAGTAGCAAAAGTTCAACTTTATGATGTAGACATTTAAGAGTCGATATAGTTAAGTGTCACTGGAGTTGGCTACCTGGCTTCAAAATACATTATGAAATATTCTCCCCTCGTCTCCATCCCACTCACCTTGTCTAGTATCCTTGGAGGCAAAATCCGTTCTAATGGCCCACCAATAAGATTTATCCTAACAAGAACATGATTTCTCTCTACAGATAAGCCATCAATTATGAAGTCTCTGAAATATAAATATATCCATTTTGTTATCTCCTAACTGAATAAAATTTATTTTGATAATCAAGAAACTAGATTGTAAAGAAAAATAAAGCATAAAATATCTGTAGCAGAAGTTTGAAAACAGATTATCAACAATGTAACAGTTGAAAATGCAAAAGGCTTTATTCACTTTTAATCTTACGGTGCTCTTTGCTAGAAAGCAAACAGTTGATGACATAATTTATATAATGAGATTAATAAAAGACTCTTATTAATAAATGTCATTGCATTTAAGGAAGAAATAGTATTAAGACATGCATTATTTCTACAGTAACTTTAACAACCAAATTTTAACCAATGGTCTGGTCTGTTCTAGTCCCAGTGCCTTAAATTCAAAATCAAAATTGTTTTTTCTGGACAGCTTCCATATTTCTTGCAGTGTTGAATACTTTCCTTCTGTTTCAAACCTAGAGTATCCAGTGAGTGTTATACCTCATTTCTATCTAAGTTTTCAAGCTCAGGCTAGGACAGAGGCATAGTTTTTTTTTTTTTTTTTTTTGGACACTAAAGCACTGTCAGGTATTGAATAAGTACTCAATAAATGTCAGCCAAACTTAGGTAATTATGGGTGTGATTTATTAATAGAAAAAAATATCCAGATAATACTATAACATCATTTGGCAAATGAACAGAATTAAGACTATGAACTAATAAAGAGAATGAAGTAAAGAGTGCCATTACAGGAAACACAAAATCACACATTTTGTTCCACGGGTCATCTTACACATGCAACCTGAATTGAAACATGGTATAATTTCACAGAACCCTAAATAAAGTTAAGGTTTAACTTAAAAAAGAAATCAAAAACAACAAAAATAGAAAACCCTCTCCAAACTCTAGAAACCCACTTCGAAATCATCTATCATAGTCTTTCTAACTGTGACATTTATTCTTTAATTGCTTTTTAAATCTACTGAATTAAGATACTAGAAACACATATTATAAACTATACCAATAACCATTTCTTTAAAAAAGCAACTGTAAAAATGAAAATTATTATTATGTCTTAATAGGCCAGTTTTTTACCTGCAGCTCTCAGAGGTCTCTAAGATATTTTCTTCTTGAGCATTCAGTAACATTTCAGATACTTGATACTGAGCCTCTAATAGGAGAAGAGTGTTCAGATCACAGCATATCACACTCAATAATCTATGTAAAGAGGAAAAATAAAAGTAGATTTTATAAAATATGTTCTCAAAATTTAGAAACTTTCCTGATGTCTCAAGGAGCTCTGATATTGTAGTAGTAAGGCATTTGGTTGCTAACCAGAAAGTTGGTGGTTCAAATCCACCAGCTGTTCTGGGGGAGGAAGATGAGGTCATTTACTTCCATAAAATTTTATAGCCTTGGAAATCCAATGGGGGTCACTATGAGTCAGAATCGACTCCATGGCAGTGGTTTTGTTTTGGGTTTATCGATGCCTCAAAGTAATACCTATATACTGGAACATAAACTTGATAGAAAAGATCATTTAGCTACTTCAAACACACACACACACACACACACATATACACACAAACATAGAGTAGGCTCCCTACATCCATGGATTCAACTAACCATGGATAGAAAATATTCTGGACGAAAAAAGAAGCAATTAAGTGGTCAAAACAACCCCTCAAAGGCTGAGAGGAAGCCTAAAGTGCTATTTACAAAGCATTTACATTATATTAGATATTATAAATAGTCTAGAGATGATTTGAAGTATACAGGAGGATGTTCTGTAGGTTATATGCAAATACTATGCCATTGTATATAAAGAACTTGAACATACATGGATTTCTGCATTTATGTGTGTTGGGGGGGAAGGGGCATCCTAGAACCAATTCACCAATTCTCCGCAGACCCTGAGGGACGATTTTTCACTTGTACAATTATTGATATCATTACATTAATTATGTTGTGCAACCCTCACCAATAACTACTATCACTTTTTCTGTCACCATATTAACTGCTTCCTAAACAATAACTCTGCTTTTCCCCTTCATGTATATTATAAATCATCTTAAAGAGTAATCTACTACTCAAATATTGCTGTTATTGAAATATTATTTTAAAGATTACGGTTATTTCTAATCTGTTATCAAACTCTAATGTAGAAATTAATACTAAATTTCTTTAACTTCTAATTAATTAATTTAGATATTCATCAGGGAATATGAGCAAATCCAAAAAAGCTGTAGTGATATAACTTTTAATTAAGCAATTAATTATCATTTCCTTCAAATCTAGGGAATGATCATTCAGTGTAATCTGTAGCAAACTTTGTAACTGCTTGATAAGGGTAAAAACACCTAAAAACACAGATACATCTTAAAATTACTAAAAGAAGGAAAGCAGAAATCATTACATCATCTATTCTTGAAGTCTTCGTCCAAGAAAATTGAATCTGAACTAATCAATCCTAGATATCTATTATATTCGTCCAAGAAAATTGAATCTGCAGTAATCAATCTTAGATATTATAAGAAATACTGAGATCAGAGAAGTACGTTAAAATACACCACAAGGAGGAAATAAGCAAATCCAGAAAGTGTAGAATCCTACACACTGTTATGCATGTTGTAGTACACTAATATATTTTAGCAAAAAAAAAAAAAAAAAGATATATATCTATATAGCATTAAAAAAAGTGGAGGTGAGGGACTTGCAGTAAGATGGCAGAATAGACAGACAAGCTACTCAGACCCTCTTAAACAAAGTAAAAACAATTGACACAGATACAGAAGATAATCCTGGAGCCCTGAGCTTTGAAAGGAAGGATACAGAAGTGAAATAAACATCAATTAGGAGAAGAACCTAAATTAAAACAGTGAATAAAGAGATAAATGTAGCTGTGGACTGTAGGCTATTGTGATGGCACAGACAGTTTGAATATTTCCAAGTGGTGTAAGGACCTGATAATTAACCTAAAAATTGGCCCTGCTTGCCAAGGGCTGTGTGGCATGGACCACTGCAGTGGTGGCTGATGACTGAAAAGGGAAACAGCAAAGATGGAGAAAGAATGAGCTGTGGCCTTTTGGCTGACCAGAGAGTGAAGCCATTTTGAATGTTTACAAGTGGTGGCTATTTGGGATATTTAAAATGACAATGTTCTCATTTAGATTCCAGGAACCTAAGAATAGGCTCCATTTGCCAAAGACATGGACATATCGCAGGCTGATGATGGAAAAGGGGTGATATTCCTCTTGTTACTCTTATCGCCCACACCCCCTTGGTGAACGGAGGTGCAGCCATCCCTTACCTACACCCACCATCTGGGCCAACAGGAATTCCATCCCAGTCTGTGTGCTCTCATAGAGCCCTATCCCCTCCCCTCACAGATTTGTTTTTTTGTGTTTATAATTATACTTTTTTCTTTCTTTTAATTTTTATTCTTTGTTTTTCCTTTCCCAGCTTCCAGTTTGGGTTTTATTTTTTTTCTCTTCCCTTTTCCTGGTTCCCATTTTTTTTCTTTCTTGTGGTTCTTCCCATCCCTTGCTTTTCTTTTTCCATTTTTCCTTTCATTATTTTCTTACTCTAGTTCTTTTCTCTTATTCTCCCCTCCCCAGATATTGTGGGATATTTTCTCTCTTTTTCTATTTATATTTCTTTTATATTTTTAATGCATTTCTTTAAATATTTCCTCTCATTAAATGCCTTTCCTCTTTTTTTTTCCTTTCCCTTCTTTGTGATCGTTCCTGTGTGTTTATGCAGTGTGTGTTGTTTGTCCTCATTTTCACTTTTTTTGGTGTTTTTTTTTTTTTTTTTTAATTGTTGTTTGGCTGAAGAGAGTGGAAAACAGCAATCATGCCCATATGACCGAACCAAACCCGCACCTCCTGCAGCCCCCCTACTGAGTGAGGGTCACTATTGGCTTTGGCAACAACTTGCCAATGATAAATAACAGTCAATAGGAGCCTGACTCACCAATAACTGCTTTTCAGAAACAGCTAACAGAGATTTGCGCAGCCACCCTCATTCTCTATCATACCCACCAGAAGACAGGTGGTGAGTGCATCAGTGCTGCCAACTTGTGAATAGAGGAGGACAGTGCCCTGCTTACTCAGAAACATACAAACAAAACAAAGAAAATGAAAATCTTGTGTGAATCACTCCAACATACACTCACCAAATGAACATAAATACAACAACATCACAATGTCTCAGAGAAAACAGGTCATCAGAGTCCACAGAAAGAAGCAAGATGAAGTAGTACAAACAAGGGACCAAGATACAGACACAAAACAAATCCCTGAGAGAGAAAGACAATTGGAACTCCCTAATAAGGAACTCAAAAATATTTAGGTACTTTCAACAGATTGAGAGACAGATTAAGGAAAACACAGACAAAACCTAGAATAATTATGGAAAACAATACAAGAATAAAATGACAAAATAAATGAAAAATTAGAAATGATACAAAATCTACAGATATAAATGCAGAAGATTAATACTAAATCTTCAGAAACAGATAACACATTGAACGGAAAAAGGAGTAGAATCAAATCAATGGAAGACAGAATTAGTGAGATAGAAGACAAATACCTCACTATTTCTTTGGAAAGGGATCAATCAGAAAAAAGATCAAAACAAAATGAAGAAAGCCTAAGATTCATGTGGAATACCACTGAAAAGAATAACCTACATGTAGTCAGAATTCCAGAACAGGAAGAGACAAAAAAAAAAAAAAAACAGAAAAAATTGTCAAAGATTTGTTGGAAGAAAATTTCCCTGATATGAGCAAAGGAAAGAATATATCCATTCAAGAAGTCCAATGAACACCAAAGAGGATAGATGCCAAAAGAAAATCACCAAGGCATATGATCAAACTCACCAACACAAAAGACAAAGAAAGATCTTGAAAGCACAGCATGGGAGAAACAAAAAGTTACCTACAAAGGGCAACCAATAAAGACTAAGCTCTGATCTCTTGGCAGAAACCATGCAGATGAGAAGGCAATGGGATGGTATATTTAAAACCCC